TATCCCTTTCATTTAAAGGTACAGTCAACCGAAAATCTAGAGCACATGCTCAGTGAGGGGTGGTCGTACCTCGGAGGTGGGTAACTTTTGGGATGGAGGTGTGGTTTTCACATTATAATGAGCAAAGTTCAAGCAAAGTTCATCCGAAAGGAGTGATTTGCCACCTTTGCTGGCTCAGCACCGGACATGTTATCGTATATCTCTCATTAGACAGACACTGTGCGGCTTATCAGCAGCCCAGCACAGGGAGTGCAACAGAGTTTGGCCGCAGTGTCTTCACTCCACTCCAGCCTCCGTTATTCCCCTTTGCAACTGCATGGAGGGCAGATTGTGCTGCCCAGGGAACCGTGGAGGAGCAGAGTCCGTGCGTACCAGCCATCCTGGAAGTGGCAACTGTGTATCACCCCAAGCAAGCTTCTGTAATGCCAAAACTTCTGTTAGGCCCTAGTTTTCCTCTCAGTTCCTGCTTTCAAACAATTCTTCCACAAACAATTCTTCCACAAGTAATACTAGTCGTGTTGCTTTTAACATAAACCTGATCTAGAAGCATCACTTGGAGCCCTCAGAAATCTTTATACCAACTCAGTGGTCATTGATTTACTCTCTATTTTCACCAAAATTTTCTCAAGGGATTCCTTTCCTTCAGCTTCTTCACAGAAGCTCTCTATACTTGGTATAAGTCCAAGTATGGAAAGCCTTCTTTATTTAAAATACAATTATCTACCTGCAGACCGCATTCTGCTTTCACATGAAATAGCTCCTCCTTGAGCTATCTCAGAGACTAGTGTTCATATAAGTTAACTTTCTGTTTTAAAAAACAATATATGTTTCAAAAGTTTCTGGCTCATGTTGAATGAACTTTAAATATGTATATAAAAAAACATACAAATTGGTAGGTATGTGTCTATGAGTGGGTATGAATGACAAATCTCCACTTACAGGCTGTGGCTTCTGTTAAATTAATTCATTCCTGATTTAAACCAGCTTATGTTAAACTTTTTTTTTCTGCAATTTATATAGCACTGTGAGGGCTACTATCTTACAGAAATAAAGTCCAATTGAAAAATAACGTATGCCATCTTTATCTACATTCCTTTTGGATGGCAGTCTAAGCAATGCTCTTGTTTCAGTTCCTGCAAATTGACTGCAAAAAAAGAGCAGAAAAAGATGATTAGGAAGACTCTAGATTTTCAGAAACTGTTATAACTTTTTAGTTGTCGATGAGTTATTGGATTTTTTTAATTTCCAAATTATTGTCAAGTATTCACTGAAAATCAGATGCTATTAAGGTGTTTAGAGCAAGGCACCTGAAATGACTAGCAGCTTTTGAAACATGTCATCTCAATGCAATCACTGTTTCTTTTTCTTGTGATACTAAGCCATCTTGACTTTCACATCCCTCCTGAAATATGGTAAGCATCTCTTTATTTTGTTCCAGAAGACAGAAAACTCTTTGTGGGTATGCTCAATAAGCAGCAGTCAGAAGACGACGTGCGCAGGCTATTCGAGGCATTTGGCAACATCGAGGAGTGCACAATCCTTCGGGGACCCGATGGCAACAGCAAAGGTAAGATGATGGTTCATGACATATTGTGGCTTTAGCTTCAAGATAGACCCAGTCTTAATGCATGTGTTATTTCCCATTCACTAGGTCAGTATCAGGACAGCATCTCTTATATTAGAAAGGGTCAAATTTGCCAAGAGAGGCCATTTCTTTGCTGGTCACTCTCTACTTACACATAAGAATGAAGAGCTAGTTGCACTTAAAAACAGATTGCCCTGATGAGTTGTCTTTCTGCATGCAAATTCACCCCTGTTGCAGCTCGCTTGCAGGGCACAGCCTCCCTTTGAACACCTTTCAAGGCCTTCACATCCTCACATAACTTGCTTTCTTCACCTGCCACAGGAAAGTTGGGAGTTTTTTTTCCCCCAGGAAATAGGCTCATCTTTTCTTTAAGCAAAGTGAAATTTTCTGTTTCAAATCTTGACTCACCAGTTCCTACCCTGTCTCAGTTGGCACCTCATTAAGATGTTATTACTTGTCTCACAGTCATATCCCAAAGCTCCAGCTTCCATAGGGAGAGACATCCCTTAGGGAAGAGGCTCTGCCCCAAAGAAGCCTGAGTCTAAGTAGATGAGGCAGGTAATGACAAGGGGGAAAACAGCAGCAAGAAAATGCCTCCCTGAGGCCATATGGCAGGTTAGTAGGAGAGCCAGATACAGGTCTCTGCTTATTTCTCATCCACCAGCCCCAGGTCTTCCCCTTCTTTAATTGGCCTTTGCATAGAGATACACCAATCAGTCATCACAACAAGGGTACAGGCACTGACTTAAACATTATGCTCATCGGGCATTCGCTCTTTGAAATGTATGAGTGTTTAACTTTCAAACAGAGATACCTCATCTCCTCCTGCCATTTTTTTCTGACATTGCTTGTTACGTGGATATCACATAGGATCCTTTTCTACAGCCTAGGTGTTTGAACAAGGTTGCTCTATTGAATATCAGGGCCATTTTTTTTCCAGCCACTTTCTAGACAAAGTAACTTCAATTTCAATAGGAAGCTCTCTTCTCGTGACAGTATAATGTGTCCATTAAATATTGATCTGCATATAATATATCATAAACTGTGCTGGAATGTGCAGCATCAGGGAAGAGACCAGCCTTGCAGATGCAGTTCATATCTCACTGAGTATTTTGACATGTGACAACATCAACCAGCATAATTTTGCAACAGGAAGGAGAAAAATCCAAACCACAGTGATACACTAAAAGATATTGCTATTTCATAAAATCACTGCTGGCAGAAAGAGACTTCACACTGGCAATAAAGTGCAGCAGGGACCAGTTTGATGTAATTTAGCAAAGCCCAATCTTCCTGATACAAATGCCTGAAAACAAACTGTGGGCATCCTTTTACGCTCTTTTGGCTATGGGAGATCCATGACACCAAAAGATGGTGGCTGCCCCACTGGAAGGTGGTAGATTGGGGACTGACCTAAAGGAACTTCAGTCATCATAATGCTAGGCAGCTAAATGAGCCATTCACTGAATAACTCAGTAAATGGGGAAAAGCAGAGGAGAGAAAAAAAATAAAAGAAAAAGAAAACCCATATGTCCATCTACCTCCACCTGGAATTGTACAGAATAAAATCTAATGACAAAGGAGTCAAAGTGAGTAATAATAAAGGCAATAATGTCTGAGATGTGTAAGAAACTGGTACCAAAGGAGACCAAATCTGCAGAGTTGTATTCATTCTTGCTCTCTCTCTCTCTTATTATTTTTTCTTCAAAAATTTCATTATAAGTCTGAATCTGAGTGGCAGTTCCGTATTGCTAACCAGTTTAATTATCAGTGCTAGCGGGCTGCAGTCTCAGGCTTGCATTTCAACTGAGCTGTTCAGGATCAATACTGAGCCTTGACAGAGTTAATATTACGAGCGTTCATATGCTGGTGCTATTTATCGAGAATGTGAAGCTCCTAATTTACACACAGATGCCCACACAGATGCTCACGCACTCACAGAGCAGTCAATCCAACAGAGAAGTTAAGAGTAGTGTCCTTGTCTTAGGAGACAGTCAGGCGGGCCACAGCTCCCACAAAGTTATTCCCAGTCTGTAATGTTTTCCATCTGCTAGAAACCAACGTGACACATATCATTTGTGAGCTACTTATTTTGGGTAAAATCCAGAAGGCTTGAATTCCACCTAAATTGAGGTTTAGGCAGATTAACCAAGTGTCACATAGCAATGAAACTGCAAAGACTTCAGTCCTACCCAGCCCGCTACCTAGAGCTCCACCAGGTCCCCCTGTTGGTGAGCCTCCAAGTCCTCCACTTACCTTGATGCAAGCATTGCTCTGAAGAGGTATGTCACAGTTTCCCACCTAAACTTCACACAGTCACAGACAGAAAGCTGCATGAACCTTGCCTGAAGCTGGGGGTGATGTTCTGAGCCATGGGGCATACGCTTCATATGGCTGCAGAAGTAAATCCTGTACGGAGCACCCCAAAGCAGGCACAGCAGTGGTTGGAGCGTGCAATCGGGTATAAGGAGATAGAGGTGGATCTGGGGCATTTCTCTACCTGAATTGTAGAGTTTGTCTCTTGAAAGACATAAGAGAGGAAGGAGCCTCCCTGCATCCCTTCCAGTAAAGCTCAGCCTCTGCACCCAGGAGCACAAGAGTCCCCAGGTGAGAGACCTGAACTGAAACTGGAAAGCTGGGCTGAGATTATGTCATAATTGATCCCTATTGTTTCCAGCAGAAGTTTATCTCATTTTCTTGTGATTGTCTCCTCTCAGCTCCTTATAAATTAGATCCAAATATTAGCAGCAATCATTGTGCTTTTCCTGAAATAGAGTCTGAGCAGAGTGGGAAGGAGCAATGCAAAGGGCTCCTAACTGTAAGTTAGTTTCATAGAATCTTAGAATCGTTAAGGTGGGAAGGGACCTCTAGAGGTCATATAGTCCAACCCCCCTGCACACGCAGGGTCACCTAGAGCATGTGGCACAGGACTGTGTCCAAGTGGGCTTTGAAGATCTCCAGAGAAGGAGACTCCACAACCTCTCTGGGCAGCCTGTTCCAGTGCTCAGTCACCCTCA